AAATTTTTCCATTTTGTCAATAAACTCACACCATATCAAATTTTTAGCAACTGACACAAGCTAGTCAAACTATTACTTCTAACAGAAAACATTTATTAAATATTCAGGATCTGCTAGATACTGTGCAATGTTATTTACCTCATCTGATCCTAACAACATTCTGAGATAGGTACTCCTACTGAACACCATTTTGTAGGCGAGAAAGCTAAAGAGATGTTAAATAATTTGGTTAAAGGTCAAAAGTAGGCTGCTATTAAACTGAGGGGCCAAACTTCAAACCCAACTCTGTCATATTCCAGAGCTTTTATGCTATTTTTCTTTTTTGTACGAGGGATTGAACCCTGGGGTGCTTAACCACAGAGCCACATCCACAGATCTTTTTATTATTTTTATTTTGAGGTAGGGTCTTGCTAAATTGCTAAAACTGGCTTTGAACTTGTAATTCTCCTGCCTCTACATTCCAAGTTGCTGGGATTATAGGCGTGTACTGCCTCACCCAGGTGAGTTTATGCTCTTAATCATTACATTACTCTCTCACCTTAGAAAAGGATTTATTACCTAAAATGTTTTTTAGAGTATGGCTTCTTTCCTTTTAATATTTTTTGGTTGTAGATGAATATAATACCTTTATTTTATTTATTTATTTTTATATGGTGCTGAGGATCAAACCTAGTGCCTCACACATGCTAGGCAAGCACTCTACCACTGAGCAACAACCTCAGCCCCCACTAAAATGTTCTTATTAATTTATAGAAGACAATCATTTCCACAGACTAGAAATTAAATAAGCTGGGCACATGGTGACATAGTCACTGTAAACATAGTGACTTGGGAAGCTGAGGCAGGAGGATTCCAAATTCAAGGCCAGCCTCAGCAATTTTAGTGAGGCCCTAAGCAATTTAGTGGGACCTTGTCTCAAAATAAAAAATAAAATGATCTGAGGATGTGACTCATGGGTAAAATGTCCCTGGGTTAAATCCCTGGTACCAAAAAAAAAAAAAAAAAAAAAAAAAAAAAAAAAAAATTACAGAACAGGCTGGGGATGTAGTTCATTCCTGGGTCCAACACCCTTCTACCCCCAAATAAAATCAAAGGAAAGACAATGGTCTTAAATAGTGTCACTGTAAGTACAGCCAAGTGCTGGTTAATAAGGTAGGTTCCTTAAGTGAATCCCATATTTAAGGAAATAAATTTATTTCTGCAAAATTTGGCCCCTCAGGTTAATAGCAGCCTACTCTTGGAGTAGACTTTGAAATCTGCATGGTTAATAACACCCCAAGCAATTCTATGCCTGAATTAGGACGGACCTGGCTCTAATCCCTGAGCCTGCCCCATAAAAGACCCCCAAGCCTATTTTGCCTCTCTCCATTTATGGAGAGATGTGCCTCTATTTGTCAGCTCTGACAAATAAACTCTTGTGTGTATGTTTGCCTGGTTACCAACTTTTATTTTCTCGTTTGCCCGTCTCCTGATTCCTCACTTTGCTTTCAACTTGAAGAGACCCTCAGCAATATAGTGAGATTCTGTCACAAAATAAAAAATAAAAGTACTGGGATATAGCTCAGTGGTAAAGTGTCCCTGGGTTCAATCCTCAGTACCAAAAATAATAAATAAATAAATAAATAAATAAAATACATTATTTTAGTGATTGGATTCCCTCCTTCCAAAATAGTGCCGAATAAATCAAGCTAGCTCTCTAGTGAAGATACCAAGTTCCTTTCATTAATTTTCGTTTGTTTACAGAGGGAACAATACCATTGATTAACTTAAGTCTTTAAAGATTTCATGGTTTTACACTTTTTAATACAATCAGGCATTTCTCAGAAAGTCACAATTCCTTAGATTGTTTTAAACCCATAAACCATTTATTTAAGTCTTTTTTCTTTTTCTTTTTTTTTTTTTTTTTTTACAGTGGGGCACTCCTACATCACATTTCTCCTCTCTCARTTTCAATCTTCCAAGTTAGTCAAAGGACTTTATTGCTCTCCTCACCTTTCATATGGTAGTACTGATTATAAGTTAGTACTTGACTAATGAAAATTTTTTATGTAGTATGAAAGAATTATGAACAAGCTTCTATGAATGTTTTCTTCCCAGAATTTCCTAATAGCATTCTGGAGGGATTAGTAGATCATAAAATTTTGAAAGAAAAGAAAGCTGTAGTTGAATATGGTTGTTTGGATTGACCTACAGTGCATACAAAAATATAGCACATACATAAATACATATTAAAAGACTGTTCTTACAATAGATATTTGTGTAAAAGATTTAAATTTTCTTTCCTCTTGTTTTAAGGTTTTCATATCCAAGCCAAAATGGTGACAATAGCTTAAAAGTGAAACTAAAATGGTGAAGGAAGTAAGATTAAAAAGTGAACTTTTCTTTAATGCTAGACTGGAAATATTGAAGGTAGGAACAGCAGACTTTTAAAAATTGATGTAAAAAGATTATAAATTACTCTCCCTTCCTAAACTGATCATATGCTAAGATTTAACAACTGGAACATGTTAAGAATTGCTCAATATTTCATATCAGAAAATATTAGGTTATTTGTTGAAGTGAATTAAGTAATTCTGACATTTAAAATGAATCTGGAAACATGATCTTGACATGGAATTCTAGAGGTAGAAAATGACATGGTAAAAATAATTTCAAAGAGAATCAGCAGTAATAAAAGTACTCTGCACAATAAAATCTCCCTGATTTGCACCTATATTTAGTGAAAAGAACTGGTTGTGTGTTCTTACAGAAATAATATTTAGTATAGTAGTGTATGGAAACAGTATACAATATGATTATTTTGTCTTGACTTAGCAAAGCCTGATCAAGAATTGGTTYTGCTGTAACAGGGATAAATCATAGGTAATAAGCCTATCAAATACCTGTCTGAAGAGAGGTATATCAGAAGAGTCAGGAGTTTATCTCTTTTCTTTTCTTCTTGGTGGTGCTGAAGATCCAACCCAGGGCAAGCTAGGCAAGGCTCTATCACTAAGCTATATCCTCAGGTTCCCCCTTTTCCTTTAACATATTTGAAAGCAGTTTTTTATAAGTTGGAAAACTGCTTCTGTTTGCACTATTATTATTTGTTTATAAATTCTCTTTGGTATAATAGACTTTGAGTTTAGAACAAAAAAAATATTCATTAAGGCCTATTAGGAGCTATGTGGTATATAACAGGAACTATCTTTCAGTAAATTATCTATGCTAGTCCTATGGTAGTTTTCACAAATTCATTAAATTCTTTTTTTTTTTTTTTTTTGTACTGGGGATTAAATTACTCAGGGGTACTCAACAACTGAGCAACATCCCCAGCCCTATTTTGTATTTTATTTAGAGACAAGGTCTCACTCAGTTGCTTAGGGCCTTGCTAAATTGCTGAGGCTGGCTTTGAACTTGAGATCCTTCTGACTCAGCCTCCCAGCCGCTAGAATTACAGGTGTACGCCATGTTCCAGGCTATAAATCATTAAATTTTTAATAGAAGAAAGTGAAATTAGTGAAGCATTACAGAATTGATATTGTCTTTCATAAAGTATATAAAAATCTTGATAAGAATTATTTAATGCTTTTCAGAATCCTATTAAGTAGATAAAAACAAAAAYCAATAAGATTTGGGGAGAACGAACATTACACCCTCTATGGAGCTTTCATTTTCTTGCCACATATGTTCTTGAGACTAATTATTTTCATAATTTGATAAATTTGAAGAACTATATACATATAAATTTATAGCATTACCTGGAGAGAATCCATACTTTATTCACCAAGTAGGCCTCCTTTCCTTGTACTCTGCATCACACACCTACACACACCAAGTGAAGTTACAACAGATGAAAAAGATAAAACTACAAATACCTAAATATTTCCACTTTTATGTGTAACATTTCCAAATCTCATGCATTCCAGATTTAACATCTATGGTTGGGGGCAGGGGTGACAAAAGTAACTTAATTCTGTATTTTTGGAGTTGGTGTCTGGCAAATTCATTGCATAAAATCAAAACTGGATTTTAAGCAATTTCTAATGTAATGAAAAGGTGTTCATTTATTTGATGGATGTTGAGTGGTAGTGTATCAAGCAAAGTTGCTATCCCTGCTGAGGTGAGATACTCACTGATGACCTAAACTAAACGTCCCAAGACCCAGGATCTGAGTATTAGTGGATGAGATGTGTTACTACAATACAAAGCAGAAAGCACTAGAAAGAAAGAACAAATAAATTTGTACTTCAGATGCAAATAATTTCCTAATGGCCACTAGCCAAAATGCTTTAAGGATTTAGGATTTTATCACAATTTCAACATAACTAGGAAGAACCCCCACAATTCTATTCTTTGTCCCCCAGAATCCAAAAACTCCGACCAACCACGTGGAAGATTAAATTGGTGACTTGTTCTAAAGGGGTGGAGGGTCGGTGTAGAGCAGGGGAATTATCACCCAAAGTCTCTGGGGGGCATCACCCCTTTTGAGGCCTATGGTGCAAAGACCATTACGAAGAATGGCGGGGTTCGCGGAGTTCTCACCCTGGGCACACTCTCGATTACCTCTGATGAGCCCCAAAGATCTCTGAGTAGCAGACTAGGTCAGGCTCCCCAAAAGAAAGGCGGCGATAACTGCAACCTCAGCGGTTAAAGTGTACAGCCTATAGGCGGGTCTAAAGCACCTGTGCTAAAGATTACTATCGCTGAGGATTCCTAGACTGGAAAATGAAAAGGGGTAGGGGGTAAAGGGTAGGGGGAAGGGAAGGAAGAGCCCGGGGGTTCAGAGAAAGGGGGAGGGGAAGGGAGGGGATGGAGCGGCAAGCCGCGGGGAAGACTACAGGTTTACAGGCGGGAATCGTGATGTTCCCATGGAAACGTATCCCTCCGCCCGTGACCAGCGCCTTGGCCTCTTCAGTTCCCTCCGCGCCGCTTGTCGGCTGTTTCCGCCCAGCTCCTTTGTGCCGCGCAGAACGTTGAGATGACGCATGCGCAAAACTCCCAGCCGCCGCATATATAAGCGCGAAGCCGGGCTCTTCTTCGTAGTGCCGCCGGGACCGTTGGCGAGTGTGTGTGTGTGTGGCAGCTTCCGTACTACTCGAGCCCCGGGCGCTGCGAGCTAAAGAGCAGAGCACGCGGGCCGGTCAACATGTCGCGCTACGGGCGGTATGGAGGAGGTAAGAGCTTAGGGCCTAGTAAAGAAGAGTGCTGTGCATATAGTGAATATTATGAGGCCGTGGGGTTGGTGCGGCGGTTGGGAGACGGTTATTCCGCGTGCGTAATGGCGGCTTCTGCGCACGCCAAACGAAGCCGGAGGCAGCGGGGGCGGGGTGTTGAATGGAAATGGGAAATAAGAGGGTGGGTGTCTGAGCCCGGTCCCCAGTTCTTGGGCATTTTTGTCGACCACGCGGGCCTGAAGTCGGGTCCGGGGTCACGATTTTCCCTTTGCCCTTCTTGGAGCTGCCCGTCCGCCCCCTCCCCCCCTCGGCGGCGGCTGCCATTTTGCGCACATTGACGACCGTGGTGGCGCATTTCCTTAGCGCTTTCCCGCCACTCGAGCGGACAGATCTGGTTGCTGTGGTAAAGTGAGGGATAGATTTGGGACTGAATGGAACTGGCAGCTACAAGCTGCGCATTCTTGTCCAACAATTGTTGAGTTGAGGGATGGTATTTGCAACCAACGGTGGTTTTTTTTTTTGGGGGGGGGCGGCTTTTTGGAGAGCTGTTTATGACACTGGGGCAGGGAGTTGGAGACTTGGGCAAGCCAGCGCCTAGGCCGGTTGTTGTGAGGACGAGAGCGGGCGCAGCCCTACTCTAGAGGCCCGCCCGACGCCGCTGCCTCGGGCCCGCGCGCTCCTAACGCGCCCGCGGCWGCCGGGACTCGGGGGGCGGGGCCGGGCCGGGCCCGCCCCAATCAGGGTATCTTACTTCGCATCTTTGCTGTTTTGGAGGTTTTTTTCCTTATTATAATACTGAAAACTTTGTTATAAGTCTAGCTTCTTGGGTGTTTATGGACTTCAGTGATTTTAAGACTAAATTCGACCCTAGAAAAAGCATTAGATATGTTTTGTACAAGTCGGGTGCGATGGTGTCTAGTCTTGGCTACCTGGGAAGGAATGAGGCGGGAAGATTGCTTGAGCCCGGGAGTTGGGAGACCTGATTAGGCAAAGTAGCCAGAGTCTGTCTCAAAACAGTGTCTTAAGGATGTCCTGTTTAGGCAGAGAATTCAGTCACATTGAGCCAAACTTTGCTAATGTACGTTGTTATGTTGCATTTTTTTTTTTTTTAAACAGAAACCAAGGTATACGTTGGTAACCTGGGAACTGGTGCTGGCAAAGGAGAGTTAGAAAGGGCTTTCAGTTATTATGGTCCCTTAAGAACAGTATGGATTGCAAGAAATCCCCCAGGATTTGCCTTTGTGGAATTTGAAGATCCTAGAGATGCAGAAGATGCTGTGCGAGGACTGGATGGGAAGTAAGTGAGATGTTCGTTATGAAACACTTATTAAAATGTTTTGTAGGTTAGAGATCTTGTGTGCTAAGTTTTGTGTTCTACAGTCTGGAGACCTACCTTAAATACCTGATCTTGATATTTATTCAAGACAATGAGGATTAAATCTGTTTTGCCCTATCATCTCAAATGTGGAACATCTATTATAAAAACAAGCAACAAATACACCATTTATGGTAATTTTGAAATAATATTTGAATAATGTTTGTAGAATTGAGAACTTCAGACTTAATAGGGGTAAAGAGGGTAGTAAGGGTGGAGTTGAAGAACTAGTAAAGAGCCAAAGCCTGTGAGGGGAAGGAGTGGTTAAAGAGAGTTATAAATTGGGGGTTAATTTGTAATCCCATCTACTTGAAAGGCTGAGACAGGAGGATCCCCAGTTCCAAATTGGCCTTGGCAATTTTAGTGAGACCTGATTATTCAAAAAATTAAAAGGTTTGGGATGTAACTGGGTGGTAGAGTGCTTGCCTAGGTTATGCGGGTTCCTGGGTTAAATCCCTAGTATTTGGGGGGGTGTCACTTTTTTTAACTTTAGAATTTTGTTACTTTTAACAGGGTGATTTGTGGTTCCCGAGTGAGGGTTGAACTATCAACAGGCATGCCCCGGAGATCTCGTTTTGATAGACCACCTGCCAGACGTCCCTTTGATCCCAATGATAGATGTTATGAGTGTGGCGAAAAGGGACATTATGCTTATGATTGTCATCGCTATAGCCGTCGAAGAAGAAGCAGGTATTTAGTTAATAAAGGAATGGTTGGTATTCTAGTTAATTAATCAAAGTAATTCTTTTATTAGCAAGGCAGAAACTAGTGTTTTTCTATAAACTTGAATGTTAATTGTACAGGTGTATTTTACAATTTTTGTTTAATTAAAAATGTTAATATATTAATAATCAACCTGGTCAAAACCTTTCAGGTTTCTTCGTTTGAGTCAGTCGCCTTGATTCAGAATGTCACGAGCCTTATGATATCATGCTGAGGCGCCTTGCAAATCCGACAATTAAGATCCTCCTAGACCTTGAGGTGATCAGCATAAGAGGCCAGATCCCCTCGAGTCATCTACACCTAGCTTCACCTTATTCTTTAAAGGGCAGAAAATTTGAGACGGTGATCGCCGTAACAGTAAATTTGGCTTACAATTGGGGCCCCCCTCCGCTTTAGAAAGAGGAACACCAGATTGACCACATTCCCAACTAGAAAAATCTTCTTGCGTCAATCAAGCCTCACCTGGCTCTTTTGGCTGTCAGTTTGATCGTCGTTAGATTGAAGAAAACATCTAGATGCAGCGATCGGCTATAGATACTTCTAGATCGTCTAGATCTACTAGACCTACTAGACCATGGGCCAAAGAGGGTCGACCTGCAAACTTGCAAGGTTTATTTTAAATACACATTACAGTGTTTTATATTATGTAATTCTAAGTTGTAATTCAGCTTTTAACAGTCTTTTTTTAGGTAGTAAAAAAAAAAAACCAACAACTAGGCCCAGAGTTTATTTCCAAATGAGACACTAAATTTAAATAGTTTTGAGATTTGATTTCAGCAGAGGCACAAAAACACTAAAAACGAGTTATCGTCTAATATTTTGTATTTTTCTAACTTGAAAAATAGGTCACGATCTAGATCACATTCTCGATCCAGAGGAAGGAGGTACTCTCGCTCACGTAGCAGGAGCAGGGGACGGAGGTGAGAAATCTTCAGTAATTCGTCTTCACAGGGGGGGCGGAGGCTTTTTTGAGATGGACTTTAGTTTCTTTTAATTTTTAGGTCAAGATCAGCATCTCCTCGACGATCAAGATCTGTATCTCTTCGTAGATCAAGATCAGCTTCACTCAGAAGATCTAGGTCTGGTTCTATAAAAGGATCGAGGTATTTCCAGTATGTAACACTTTTTTCCTCCTTATTTGTAGTTGGATTGTCACATCTTGACCACAGCAGCACAGTGGTGGAGTGTCTTAAGGACAAAATTCAAATGAATTGCTTCAGAATGTTTGAGATTTAAAAGTTGAATTTTTATGATTTCTAACGTGGACATTAGTTTTACAAGTAAAGATTTTAAGGCTTGTTAAGAGGCCATAGTGGACTAGGCATAGTGATTCATTCCTGTAATTCCAGTGACTTATGAATCTAAGGCTGGAGGATGACAAGTCTGAAGCTGACAGTTTTAACACATTTAAGAGAAGTGAAAAATCAAGTTGGGAACCATATATTTCCTTAGTAAGCAAGTCTTAAAAGATGGAACTTATACAACTCTAGAAAATGTTAACACTATAGATGATGAAGCAGTTGTTCAGAATGCCACTCAGTTACTTGCTGTTGAATAGAATAAACCCTTTAAAAGTAGAAATTACAAATCCTGTGGTCTATTTGAAAAAAATGGACTATTAATCTCTAGATAGTTTATCTAATTTATTGCAGGATCTCAAGATATTTGAGATGCATATATCAGCCCAGTGTAGTTGGTGTAACTTACTTATGATTTAAGAAAAAAGCCTTACTCGTTTGTCCAACTTTAGATTGACACAAGGCAAGATTTTGCATTTTGATCAGTTTTAGGTCCTTTGTTCCTAACCTATCTAATTCAGTGCTCAAAAAAGGAATGCCTATGGACTAACRTATTTTCATTTTTCTTTTATTAAAGATCCCGGTCAAGATCAAGATCTAGATCTAGGTCTCTTTCACGACCAAGAAGCAGGTAAGGTACAAGTGTGATCAAATGCTCTTCCAGTTATATGGCACCAATATCCAAAGAGTTCAAAGTGTTTTTCATTGTTGAAAAATTTGAATGTCAACTCCTAAGTGGAAATACAAAACCTTTTTAAGCCAAATGAGAACTTCATTTATACATGGCCTATTGCAGGCTTCTTAGAGGAGGGAATGTGAAGTGCTAGAAATTTGTGATTTGTTGGGGTTGAGAGGCCTTTGCTAGAACTGTTAGGGGCATTGGAGAAGCATCCTGAAATAAGTGTTTTTTAAGATAGTATGTGGAAAAGATGAATTGTGACAATACAGCAGTTCACTTTAATTAAAAAAAAATTATAGTCTGACATTTTTTAAGCTCAGGACAGTGTGGGGGTTTGTTTTGTGGTATTGTGGTTAAAAAGGAAGGGATTGGTTAGTACTTTTTCTTAATAGAGTTTCTCGTGTTTTGACAGCCGATCAAAGTCCAGATCTCCATCTCCAAAAAGAAGGTAAGCTAAATAATCTTTTGTTGCGAAGTCTTAACCAATCAAGTGTGGCCTCTGCAGAATTTGTCTGCTTTGTCTAATTAGCAATCTTTGAGCTCTTTGGAGAATTGGTGCTATATAGATTAGGTATTATGTTTCTGAGATGATTGCTTTTCCTTTGTTTTTTTACTTTTAAGTCCTATGAATCCTTAGTTGTAGAAATTTCATGCTAAGCAGCTTGATTTTTTTTCCCTACATTCTACCTGTGGACAATAGGTAGAAATGAAGTGAGGAAAACTGTAAATGGTTGAAATCTAGCAACTAAATTATTTTGTCTCTTGGTCCTTAAGGAGCCAGAGAACTACAAATGGTTGTTCTATTTAATGTAACCTTGGAATTTTGGCAAGGTTATTAAAAAAGCCTAATACTAATGGGTGGGGAGGATAAGTATATAAATTTAATGTAAGTTTAGATCTTTGCTTTAGTAGGAATACATTGTACCCTAGGATTTATTGAAGTATTTTCCCTGACTGTACATTAGAAAAAGTATAATTCAGTAGACACTAATTGATTCCCAAACCTAATGTGTTTCTTTTTAGTCGTTCCCCATCAGGAAGTCCACGCAGAAGTGCAAGTCCTGAAAGAATGGACTGAAGTTTTCAAGTTCACCCTTTAGGGAAAAGTTATTTTGTTTACATTATTATAAGGGATTTGTGATGTCTGTAAAATGTAACCTAGGAAGGATATTTYAACCATCTAATCAAAATGGATCTGGATTAATACTCTGTAAATTCACAGCAGTAAGATAATATAAGTTTTTGTTGAATGTATTAACATCTTATGGTCTGAACATGGGTTTTTATTTGGCACATTTAAATAAAATGTTTCTAAATAGATTTTTGATTCGTGTTCAATATTAACACTTCTCAATTTGGTAACCATCAGGAGTCAAACTTGATAACTATTAAATATTCATACAGAGTTACATTCAAAGTTTAATGGTGTTAAAAGTCTTGAACATCATTAACTGTTCTATACATAACACTTTGTCAGCATCTTAAGGGACTTTGAAAAATTCTATTTTACCCTTGTATCTGGGTAAGATGATCTTGAGTCCCCTGTAATAGTATGAGTTTATCATGACAGATCCCTCAATTTAACTTATTGAAGTTGGTGTTAAGAGACATCAAACTAATGATCTCAATCTGTCAATCTAGAGGGACCACTGATTGACCTATAAATGAGCATGACAGGAACTAAGCAAAGCTTTTTGAGTAAATGTGATATAAGATGTAAGGAGAAACTGATTTCTGGAGGCTGTTTTAGCTTATTGATGTTTCCAGGCAATTGGGTGGGATGGTTTCTATTCAGTGTTCTTTGTTTTCAAACATTAGTTAACTGATTTTATACCAAAAAAAAAAAAATGCATGTATGAGAAATTGTCTGGATTTGGAATAAAATGTAAACCAGCTTTGCAAAATTTTCCAGCCTAGATACTCTTCTGTATTCCTTCAAATGGATCGCCTTATTTTGTTCAAAGACCTATTATGTCTAAGCTAGGTTTCACAATTCCCAACAATCAACATTATTTTGCCAAGCTGGTGCAAAGTAATTAATGATGTCAATCAGCAATGTTAATGAGACTTCAGCAGTTTTGTAAATCCCACGTATTTAGTAGCAACATTTCATGTAGCTTAAGTTTTTTTGGTAGTATATGGTAGACCTTAGAATGTTACAGCCAGTAGGTTCTTATTCAGACTTTAACTATATTAAGTATAATGGGACAATGGTTATTTTTGAGAGTTTTCTGGACAAACTTTTACCAGGTATTTTCTAACCTTGGTGTAAAAAAGGAAAAAGTGCTGGTGGCACAGGAATCTGTCCTTGTCTGTTTTCTTAAGGCTTTTCTACAAAGTCATTGGATGATAATGCAATTTGGGAATACTGATCTGCCTCAAATTTATTTGGTGGTCTGAGTGATCACTAGTATATTGGAAGTTTATTTGGGTTCTTTGTTTTGGAATTTTGACAACTGAGCATTATATGGTTGGCATAAAGCTGTGTAATTGGCAGGCTTATTTGTTGCACTGGTTAGCTTTAATTGTTCTGTATTATATAAAGATAAGTTTACTCAACAATAAATCTGCAGAGATTGAACAAATAATCCTGATACTCAGTTTTTGGAAGTGTGAGCCCTGAGCTAAAAGGTAGGAATCATTAAAATTATAGCTTTTTTGAATGGGAAAATAATGGCATCCCAGAAGTTAGTGTTGAAAGGATATGGGTATGAAGGAAGGGTAGAAGTCCTGCTACTCTCAGAAGTGAATACTGACCCTAGTCCAACAGCTTTACTCGTTGACAACTTTGTACCTACTGTTGAGTAGTGTATGATGTCATAATGATAAAGTTTCATGACAGTTTCATGGAGTTAATGTCCTGAATATTTCATATGTAGGAAAAAAGCTCCAGTAGACAGTTTGAAAGCCTATTATTGTGATGTCTAGAACAAATATTCATTAAAATATTTTCATTTCTAACTTATTTAAAAAGTTAAAGCTGATTAGAATTGTCATTTAGTCCCAGCAACAAAACTCTATTACTCCATCTCACTAAAGAAAAAGTGGGCTCAGATTTGTAATTTAGTCAGGTTTTTTTTTTTTTCCTACCTAGGTAGGAAGTAGGAAAAGATTGAATCTTTACCTGTGAATTGAAAAGTTTTTTTCTTCAATATGTGAAACACTAAAGACAATCACATGGAAAAATCAGAAAAAATACAAGTAATCCTATAGTCCTACCCATTTTGGTACCATTGTTAATGGCCATATCTTGAAAAGATGTGGCCTTTTTTTTGTGTGTGCACTGGGGATTGAACCCAGGACTTCGTGCATGCAAAGCAAGCACTCTACCAATTGAGCTATATTCCCAGCCCCTCAACCTCTTTTGTTTCATGTCTGATGATTTTTGGTTTTCCAATTGCCAGACCTGTTTTTCATTTCCTGTCATTTTTGACTACGGGATACAAGGTTTTGTGAGCTACCTTAACCAGTTTCAGATACATAGACCGCTCAACAGTTGTATTCCTATGTAACAAGTAGACATTTTCATGACAGCATAGTGTACTTTGACTTTTTTCTCATTTAATATTTTGGAGATCTTGTAAAAATCACTTTCATTTTTTTTTATGTTGCATTTACTTGTTTAGTTGATGGTATTGTGTAGTAAACTTTTTAAATACCTCTTCAATGTGTCCTTGGGATGCAGAAGTGAACAAGTATATATATATTTTTTTTTAAAAGAGAATTTTTATTTTTTAGTTATCAGCGGACACAACATCTTTGTATGTGGTGCTGAGGATTGAACCTGGGCCGCACGCATGCCAGGCGAATGCACTACCGCTTGAGCCACATCCCCAGCCATGTGAACAAGTATATTAAAATGGAGCTTAAGTTCTGGAGAGTTATTTAATAAAAGAGGACTTTGTTGCTAATTTGTGAAGGATGGTCTAAGTGACATTTGAGCAAGTGAAGGGGGTGTGTGTAACAACTTTTAACTCTTGGAGAAACTGTTCTCCAGTCAGGGGAACACAGTAGGTGCAGAGGCCCTAAAGTAGTTTGAATTGTTAGAGAGCAAAGGTCCCAGAAGGAAAGGGGTAGGTGATGCAGGATATGGATCAATCTACAATCCATATCACCTCACACCTGTAAATTTCCCCCAGTATCAACTTTTGGATTGGTACAATTGTTAGAACTGGTGAACCTAAATTGATTTGACATTGTCACCTAAAGTCCATAGTTTTACCTTAGGGCTCTTGAGGGTTGAACTTTCCATGGGTTCAGAAAATACGTAATAACTTGTCTACCATGTGGCATCACACACAGTTTCACTGCTGGAGTACTCTTGTTTTTTGTTTGATTTTGTTTGTTTTTTCCCCTCCCACACTGCTGATTAAACTCAGGCACTCCACCACTGAACTATGTCCCCATCCCTCCATCCCTTTATATTTTTTGAGACAGGTTTCATGAAGTTGCCCTGACTGGCCTTGAACTTGCCATCCTGCCTGAGCTTCCCAAGTTACTGGGATTACAGGTGTCTGCTACTGTACCTGGCTTGTTTTGCCTTTTTATTCTTCCCTCCCCCATCAATTCCTGGCAACCACTTTTTTGACCATCTATTTTGCTTTTTCCAGATTGTCATAATAGTTGGAATCATATGTTACCTTTTCAGATTGACTGATTTAACCTTCTAATAGGCATGTTTCCTCCTTTTGGAGGTTGAATTACACTTTGGTAGTTCCGCAGTTCCACTTAACCTAATAAAAGAAAGTCTTGGTTGCTTCCAAGTTTGGGTAATTACGAATAAAGCTGTTGTGTGAGGTTTTTATGTGACCATAAGTTTAACTCCTTCCTTTGTGTAAATGCCAAGGAGCAAAATTATGTGAAATACATTTAGTTGTCTTTCAGGTAGGCTGCATGAATGAGTTTGGGTTGCTCCACATCCTTATGAGCATTATTAAACGTTTGTCAGTGTTAGGGAGTTTGGCCATTCTAATGTATGTATGGTGGTTTGGGTTTTATCTTGCATTTTTCTGGTCAGCAGCATGTGATGGTGGAGCATCTTTTTAAAAATTATTTATTGGTTGTAGTTGGACACAGTACCTTTATTTACTTACATGGGGCTGAGGATCAAACCCAGGGCCTCACATGTGCTAGGTGAGTGCTCTAATGCTGAGCCACAACCCCAGCCCTGGAGCATCTTTTCGTGTACTTAGCTACCATCATCCTTGTCGAAGGATCTGTTAAGGGTCTTTAGCCCTAATTTTAATAGGGTTGTCTTTTTTCCCATGGAGGGTATCTGAGAGGATTAACAGGAACTTAACTGTTGGTGAATATGAGGGTTGTTTCTAATTACTGTTACCACAGTGAACTGAATAACTTGCATAGTACACCACTGCACAGGTGAACATGTCTAGGATAATTCCTAGAAATGGCATTGCTGGGTCAAATTATATTTTGGATGGGTATTGTTAGTTTGCCCTGGTGGCAGGGTATAGAAATGCCCGTTTTCCTGTACTATTTTTGCCGATATGGTGGGCTATCAAGCCTTTTGGTTTTGGTTTGGAATGTGGTGTACACCTGTAATCCTAGTGATTTAGAAGCTGAGGCAGGGGGATTGCAGTTTTTAAGACCAGCCTTAGCAATTTTGCAAGACCTTGTCACAAAAAGTAAATAAAGTGCTGAGGATATAGCTCAGTTGGTAGACTGCTTGCCTTGCATGTGCAAAGTCATGGGTTTAATCCCCAGCACCACTAAATGAATGAATGAACGAATGAATGAACAAATAAACATTAAAAAGAAGTGGGGATGTAACTCAGTGATAAGAGTACTTGTGCTCAAACCTCAGTTCTGCAAAAAAAACAGGACAAAACAATCTTTTTTTTTTTTTGGTGCTGGGAGTTGAACCCAGAGCCTTGTGCATGTGACACAAGCCTTCAACCAACTGAGCTATATTCCCAGCCCCAACCATCTTGATTTTTTAAAAAAATCTTGTGTTAAAAAAATAGTATCTTGGGCCTGGTGTTGTGGCTCAGTGGTAGAGAGTGATCACCTAGCTCATGTGAGGCGCTGGGTTTGATCCTTAGCACCACATAAAATTAAGGTATTTTGTTCAACTACAACTAAAAAAAAAAAAAAAAAAAAAAAAAATGACGTCTTGATAGTTTTTTTTGTTTGTTTGTTTTGTTTGGTAAAATACGTGTTTTCCCCCTTCTGGAAAATTTCCATGTGTTTGCAAGTCTGATTTTTAGTTTCCTTGCTCTCAATATACTGGAACTTTACCTACAGTGGGACTCCTTTATTTGTAATTTAATTGTGTGTTCACTTCTGTATTTATACCATCACAAAACATTGTGACAGCAGGAACCAGAATGCTAAGAACTTAGAACCTTAAGTATTTGATGAATGAAAATGTTAATGGATGAATTAATTCTGACTTTATTAAGCCAAGTATATAAAACTGGAACCTCTTCTGTAAGACTGAGGCACATTTTCCTTTTTGGTGCCTATGTGACTCCTGTTTAAAGTGTCCAACTCTGCTACTTTATCACAGTTTTTCTCTCATTTGGATTAACTGAGTTCTGCTCAGAATGAGTGTGGAAAATTCCTCTGAAGAAAGTTATTTCTAGAAAGGGTACAGCCTCAGTTGGCACCAAGAGTTGGTGAACTGCCAAGTTCGGTGGCATATGCCTGTAATCCCAGAAGCTCAGGAGGCTGAGGCAGGAGGATCGAGTTCAAAGCCAGCCTCAGCAAAAGTGAGTGCTAAAGAACTCAGACCCTGTCTCCAAATAATACAAAATAGGGCTGGGGATGTGGCTCAGTGGTCGGAGTGCCCCTGAGTTCAATCCCTGGTACCAAAAAAAAAAAAAAAAAAGTGGGTGAACTCAGGTGAGCTA